ATTTAGCAGTGAACTACATTAATGCAATGCTTTTTTCTAATGGTAAAATTAGGATATTTTAACTTCACAAAGAATCTTAGTAGGTTTATAAAATTCTTTTTTTTTTAAATAGTTGTTTGTTTTTTTAAGATTTTATTTATTCATTTGAGACCCAGAGTTAGAGAAAGCATGAGCAGGGAGAGGGGCAGAGGGAGAGGGAAAAGCAGGCTCCCTGCTGAGCCAGGAGCCCGATGTGGGGCTCAATCCCAGGACCCTAGGATCATGACCTGAGCCGAAGGCAGACGCTTAACCATCTGAGCCACCCAGGCACCCCGGTTTATAAAATTCTTTAGGGTAATACAGAAGTCAGTAATAACCATTGGTATAGGGTCCATATGAATATTTAAAGAAAGGCTAGTCTGTACACTTGACATAATTTGATAAGTAGGGCCAAATTTAAATATTTCTGGGGCACTTTCAGAAATGGAAATTTCCATTGTCTTTAAGAAATAGGAAAGATGAGGAGACATCAAGTTAATAAATAGTCTTAAAGGAAAATGGTTTGATTAAACAAAATGAAAAGTTAACATTTTTTCATGGTACAACATTCTATTACAATTTACATGTCAAAATTTAGTTCCCCACTCTAGAATATCAAATTCCTTGCTTATGAATTATCTTTATATATCTATGTCATGAAATTTCCTAGTAACTCTTAGTACAGAAAGTCTGTGTACAAACCTGAACTTCTCAGTTTTGCTGCTAGAAACTATCCTAATTTTTGGAATAACGTGCAGGGACTTTTTTTTTTTTTTTTTAAGAAGGTGCTTTTTTTTTTATAATTCTATTTTTTAAATCCTGTAATTATGTCTGTATAGCAAAATAAATAAATAAAAAATAAACATGCCTGTAAGATTGAGTAGACCAGCTTATCTAGCCAGAACATTTTTTAAAAAATATGTGCCTTTAATGCAAATACCATGTGATTTCACTTATATGTGGAATCTAAACAAAACTAACAAACTCTTAAATATAGAGAACAAACTGGTAGTTGCCACAGGGGAGGTGGGTGGGATGATGGGCAAAAGAGATGAAAGGGATTACGAGGTACAAACTTCCAGAGATGAAAATACAGCATAGGAAATACGAATAATATTGTAATAACGTTGTATAGTGACTACACTTAACCATGGTGAGCACTGAGTAGTGTATGGAATTGTTGAATCACTATGTTGTACACCTGAAACCAGTACAACATTGTATGTCAATTATACTTCAATAAGTTTTTACAAATGCCTTTTAAAAAAAATGTATGCCTTTAGGCAGCAGTGCACTTTCCTTTAGAATCCTTAACCACTGTTTATCACAGCTGCTTCACATACCACTTTTCTGGCCCCTGAAGGCTTTTGTGACCCTTGCTATAAATTATAGTGAGTTATTTAGTTTCTTACATTGCTATCTTGATCAGAAAAGTACTGTTTATGTAAAGTTAAAGGTAGAAATAATAAAGTTGTCATATTGGTTATGTTATTAAGTAATTCTTTCATATGAATGGTTGGCATAATGTAGAAGTAATCCTTTGACCAATTAAACCCCTAAAAACAAAAGATTTTTTGTTATCCTGGAGGAACATATGCAATAGAAGGTATAGAAAAAGAAAGTATTGAAATTATTAGTATTTGTAGGTAAGATGATTACCTGGCAAACCTAAGAGTTAACTGGAAAATCAACTGAAAATGCTATAGTAACAGTTGTGAGAATTATGCTGCATCTTTAACATTCTAAACTCTGTCATAAAAGGTTGATTTTGTGGATAGTTATCATTAAAACCTAGCCACGATAAAAACTATGTACATTTTCTTGGAATTGTAGGATGTAGGTAGTATAAGAAGAAATAAATGGTGTATAGTGGGAATATATATTTTTAATGCATTTAGGTGGCAAATAACAACATGTAAATATACAAAAGTCAATATCCTGTAAGTCCATAATCAGAAAATGTAATGGAAATCATTCCATTCATACAACAAGCATAAAATGAAAAAGGTTTAAAAGAAACTTAAGACATTTTTACAAAGATATATAAACTCCACTTAAGGTTTTGAAAGAAGACTTGAATAAATGAAAATACATATCAGACTTTCTGGGATAGTAGCAAACACTGTGCCCTGTGGACATGTTTAAAACAGAGGAAGGAAGGTTTAAAGCTGAGCTGCACTTCTAGTGCCATCAAGAGGAGCAAAAACCAAAGCCCAGGACTTCAGAGGTGGGGTCTCTGGTAAATTACCTCCCATTTTAAGATGACACACTGAAAGAAAAGGGTGGAACCGTGTCCAAGACAGCGCTGTCATGAATTTGCATCCTGACCTTGTGTCCTGTGAGTGATCTGACCTGGATTAAGTGGTCAAACCTGTATTAAGATACTAAGTTGTAATGCCCCCAGCTCCCTGCAAGAACCAAACAAAACTCCTCTTGGGGAAAGGTATCATTATCCTAGGCCTAAAATTAGTCGTGTGTGTGTGTCTGTGTGATGTAGTTATAGGACTAATTTCAGGCCTAGGATAATGATATATACATATGTATATACATATATGCACACACACATATATGCACACGTGTGTATTTTTGCATACAATGTTCAGCTCATAAATATAACCAGGTACACGTACACACACGGCATCAAGAGCAATAAGCAGCAGGACCAACAGACAAGAGATGACCAGAAAATCTTGAGATACTGGAATTATCAAAGAGAGTATTGAAAATAATAAAAGCAAAGATAGTATATAATGGTAGGAAGTTGGAAACTATAAAATAGTGACAAGGCAGATTTGAAAAAGAACAAGTTTTAGAATCAGAAAATAAAATACCTGAAATTAATTCAGTGTGTAAGACTAACAGATAAAGCTGAAGTGAACATTAGGGAATTGGAAGATAAATTTCAGAAGAAGCTATACAAGAAGGAGCACAAAAGAAAAATAGGGATAATACAGAAGACTAAGACTCAAAGAGGATACAGTGAGAAGATCTCTATTTTATTGGAGTCCCAAAAGAAAGGAGGAAATAAAGGCCAAAGGAAGTATTTGAAAGAACAAACAGACCAATGGAACAGTATAGAGTATAAAAACAAATCCCATAATACTTGATTTATGGCAGAGACGGCACTGTAGAGCAGTGTGGAATGGTTGAGATTTTCAGTGATTGGTAATTGAGTATACAAATAGAAAAAATGGAGTTGGACCATAAACAAAAATCAATTACATTTGGATTGTAGGCCTAAAAATGTGAAGGGCAAAACAATAAAGCCTTTCAAGGGTAATGTAAAATAATCTTTTTGACCTTTGGGTAGAGGAAGATTTCTTTAACTTACACAGAGTGACATTACAATTAAAAACATGTTAAACAAGGGGCAGCTGGGTGTCTCCGTTAAATGTCAGACTTGGATTCGGCTCAGGTCATGACCTCAGGGTCGTGAGATCAAGCCTCTAGTTGTGCTCTGCGCTTGGCTTGGAGTCTGCTTCTCCCTCCCCCCCCCTCCGCCTTTCCACCTGTGCGTGTACACTCTCTCTCAAAGAAATGAATAAAATCTTTTTTAAAAAACCATGCTAAAAAAAAAAAAAGGCATGGGGGGAATCATTTGTCATACAACCCACAAAAGTCTTAAATATACTGAGAGCAAAACAAAGCTATAAATCAATAAAAAGGCAGCCCCATGGAAAAATGAGTAAAATATTTCACACTTCACCAAAGATGAAACTCAAATTATCAAAGGGATTTGAAATAATAAGAGAACTCAATACTTATTCTGGTTTTATTAAAATAGAAAATTAAATGGAATCTAAATAGCAATAATAAGGGATCAGCTAGTTAAAATTTTATACATATAAGAATGCCATTCTTTACAAATGATTAGCATTATATTAATAGGCTTACAATGTATTAGTATACAGAACATTATCCTTTGATAAACAATATATATTATCTGAAGTCAGAATATTTAAAATGTGTGGAGGACAATACTTGCAATGATTTTAATCACTTATCTCTTTTAATTGTATTTTCTAATGTTTCTAAATTGAGCATGTACTGTATTTTATGCAATTGATAGCAAACAGTGTACCCAAAATAGGGCATTATACCCATTTTTCCATTATGGGAATCACCTATTTTTTATTAAAATTCTGAAGGAATCAGCCATCTCTTAGCGTTAGAAAAATGCATGTTCATGCACAGAAGCACATAACCATATACTATGTGCAGTAGCAAAACAAAGAATATGGAATAATATTAGTATTGTGAAGCTATAGATCAGTACTGAGTGACTATCATCATTCCATTTTCTTTTCACTTAAATGGATCCTTTATTTTTTCTGGGTTTTTCTGCTTCCCTTTTTCTCTTCTGCTTTTAGGATGCTTAGATGCCCTTTATGTATATAGAACATACATATACACACACTCTTTTTTTTTTTTTTTTTACAACTTTGAATTTACGGAGTCTAGAGCTTTTCAAAGGAAAAGTTTATTAAAAGTTTAAATATAAGAATGGGATTCATTTTGATAGCTTTAGAATCTTAAGATTTCTGTAAGATTTTATTTAATTTTGGACTTTTCACAGGAAAAAAAATTAGCCCTTTCTAAAGTAACTTTTCTGATAAATGAGTATGTTATTTGAAAAATAATTTAGAGTATGTTTTAACAGGAAAGGATTTGTTTTCTGGATTTTTCTGTCATAGCAAGAGGGTTTTGTTTTTTAGTTTGGGTAGGATGTTACCTGGCAAATTAAAAAAATGTGATGTGCTGTATTTGTTTTGCCACAACTTCCAAGAAGCTTCCAGATTAATTTAGGTTTCATTGCTCATCCATATATACTTCTCTGCTCCAGCTTGTAATTGTTTTTAGGTTATTAATTGTTCTTTTTATCTTTTTTGGAAGTAGGGGCAAATGTATGTATATGTACATATGCACACACGTAAGTGCAGTCACACACACTGTATAAATATGCTGTTTTAAATTTCTTTTAGCCAACAAATGGAATCTTCTTGAGCATGTTTCTGATAGTTTTACCATTGGAATCCATGGCTCATGGACTCTTCCATGAATTGGGTAACTGTTTAGGAGGAACATCTGTTGGATATGCTATTGTGATTCCCACCAACTTCTGCAGGTACAGTAATCTAGTATAATTAGTAGTGTCTATTTTACTCAACATGTTCCTAATATTTGTATGAATTTGAATATAAAATGTGATAGCTCATTTTTTTCAAAAGTATAATATTTTCAAAATATAATGCTCTTGCAGTTTTTTTCATTTATGCCAAATGTTTAAAAACTTTTATTTATTCTGCATAATGATATAATCTTCAGGATTCAATTTAAATATTTTTTTGATGAATGTGATTAGCTTATACTTAGCTAAAAATCAGAAAATACAAATAATGGTTCTAAGGAAAGGTCCTACCCTTTCTTTAGAAAAGGTTATCTTGTTTAAGAAAATGTCCTGTGAAACAACATGGTGAAATTTAATAGAATGTATACTGGACCTGAGAGTCCTAAATGCTAGTTCTCTGTTACCCTAAGCAAATCATAACTTCTCTGAACTTCAGTGTTTTTACCTAAAATGCCAACGACAGGGGCTCAGTTGGTTAAGTGTCCGACTCTGGTTTTCAGCTCAGGTCATCATCTTAGGGTGGTGAGATTGAGCCCCACGTTGGGCTCTGCGCTGGGCATGGAGCCTGCTTAAGATTCTCTCTTTCCCTCTCCCTCTGCCCCTCCCTCCCTCAAAAAAATGCAAACGACAATACCTAGTCTTCCCATCTCAGAGGAACATTATGAAGAGCTAATGAGAATATGAATGTAAAAATACTCTGCTTACTGGAAAATGTCATACAAAAAATTGGGAATGAAGTTAAACATGTATTTGTTTCATTGTAGTTTTATTCCAAAATAATTTTTGTCCCTAAATGTGTGGCAAATCTTTTTGAATCTGTAAATATTGCCACATTAAAAAATTTTTTTATAGTAAGTACCTTTGAAATAGAAAAAAATCAATCTTTGCTGTTAATAAATTTTGATTATCCTTGGTGGGTTTTGGGGTGGGGGAGGGGGAAGACTTGAAATAAATTTTTTATTTCAAATCTTTGACATAAAAACCAAAACAGACTATTTGTAGTAAATATTTTCCTTCATGTTGAAGGCTTTATAAAGGGCTGCAAATTCTTATGAGGAGTAAAAGAAATAGATTTAAGAGGCTCCCATAAAGTAAGATGTGACAGTTTAGCAGGGAGAATACGTGGAAATAGTAATTTGCACAGATTTTTATTCTGATTTTTGTTAATACATTGCTTATTCTTTTACTGTTTGCGACTGCTAAATGTTACAAATAGAGAACAAAGTGTCTTCTTATTTTGATGAAAACTAGTGTCATTAGAATAGTACTGAATATATGAAGGAAAATATGAGGTTTTCAAAACTACTGCAAGAAATTCCTTTTCTGGATAGGAGTGATGATTTTTTTTCTTGCTCAATATTGATATTTTGATTCTGCTAGCTTTAAGACATGGTTTTTCATCTTTACTACAGTAGCAGTTTACATTTGTTCTAGAATCAGATCTGTCTTCACTTAGTGTTCAGTAGTATAAGGCAGTGGGCCTAAATTTTAATAACCTTTTCAAAATGTCATTTACTAACGATTTCTTCTGTCATTTATGTTCCTTAAGTTAGTAGAACTTGAATGCAACTTTATAAAGACTGTCTTTTGCAATATAGAAATATAAAACATTGCTTCCATGTTTTGTTAAAATTTTTTTGTCAAGGAAAAAAGTTCTTTCATTATAATTCTCACCTGGGTGTTCTTGAAACACGGGGTAAAATCAGTATGATCTTGCTTTTAGAAAGTCTTATTCAATATCTGTCATTTGGTAAAAGAGTATGAATACAGAACAAAGAACAGTATTATCTACTTTTGGAGATCTTTTCCCAGCTTTCAGTTTGGTGATTATTTTATTGGCTATATAAAAGTTATATAGAAATACAACTTTTAGAAACTAAGCTTTGATGTTCAAGCTTAATTCTTAGCACTTTAGAAAAGAGGATTTAAAAAAAATTCTGCCATTTAGTTGTCAGCAACTGTTACGATGCTGAGATAATTATAAATGAAGAATAAGAATGTGACATAGAATGACACTCTTTAAACACCAAAATAATTTTTTTTTTCTTCAGTCCTGATGGTCAGCCAACACTTCTTCCCCCAGAACATGTACAGGAGTTAAATTTGAGGTCTACTGGCATGCTCAATGCTATCCAAAGATTTTTTGCATATCATATGATTGAGACCTATGGATGTGACTATTCCACAAGTGGACTGTCTTTTGATACGCTACATTCCAAACTGAAATCTTTCCTTGAACTTCGGACTGTGGATGGACCTAGACATGATACGTATGTTTTGTATTACAGTGGGCACACCCATGGCACAGGAGAGTGGGCTCTTGCAGGTAAATGCACCTCCGGCAATTTAACTGTTACGAAGATAAACCTCTTTATGGAAGTCGACCCTTCACCCTGAAACATTAAATTTCCAAAATTCTCAATTTTCTACTTCACAGTTTACTAAGTATACAGATGACTGTTTTGTTTTTCTCTAGCATACCTGTTTAGCATAGTATTAGTAATCTCTAAAGGTTTTGAGAATTATGTCTTAGTTGGAAGAAAAAAATCTGCTTACTCTGAGACATTATGTTTCCCTTTCATGTATTTTCAGAATTATTAAATATAGTTACATTTTTCAGAAGCTGATTAACTTGACTAATACTTCTAAGTCTTTAAATGTTATGGATGCTGATTTCAATAGTTCTATGCATGTGCAGTTTTATTTAAGTTAGAAAGCTCACCAGGAGTTTAAATAGCAAGTGAGATAATATGGTAGGAGTAGCTCTTAGGTCAGGTGACCTTGGTTCTGGTCCTGATTTTGTCACAACTCACTTCTCTCAGTTTCAGTTCTCTCCTCTGTAAAATGAGGGGGTAATATTAAATCTTGCCAATGGTTAAATGAGATCTATATTATATGTAAATTTGTTCTTTGGGCTTCCCAACTAGAAGAGAGACCATGTAAGTCGTGGGCTTTGTTTTTTGAATTATTTGCCTAGCACCTAGAACAGAGCCTAGCAGATCCCTAGTAGGGATCGTCAAGTAACAGATCATTGAATGAATCATGGGGCGGGGGGGGGAAGGGGGGTAATTTTCTTATTTTATGTTAGAAATAGTTCTTTTAGAACTTAATTCTATCCTGCTTTTTCCTTAAATATTATAGATGTTTTATACTAAGAACACCTACAAATAATAAAATAGACAGAAATAGATACTCAGATCAAGGACAAATATAAACAGAAGTGTTCTGGAAGGACAGAGGTAGAGCTCCCAACATAAGAACTCCAGGTAGAGATGATTAAAGGTTAAAATAGAGATGATTTTAAACCATCATGGTCTCACTAATTTCATGCTAGATTTGTAATGAGGGTTTCATCATAAAAATACTGTTGTAATTTTTGGTTTTGCAAATAAATATTGAATAACTTAATGGCTGTCTAGGAGTGAAGGCAAACATTTATTGGGCACATTTGAAGCAGTTACTATGCTTGGTACTTTATATACATTAAATTTAATCTTCACTTAAAAAACTTTGAGGTAAGTACTGTCACCTCTATCATCTTCATTTTTCAAAGAATAAAATGAAAATCTAAAGTTGTTACATATCTGTGGTCATACAACTGGTAAGTGATGGAACCATGATTCAAATCCAGAAATAATTTTTTTTTCTGCCTAACCCCTTAAAGTGTATTTTTTCCCCCATTGTACCATGTGCTGCCAAGGCTAAAACCATTAAGGTAGAGAAAATCACGTTCTGGTTTAGTAGATATTTTTGTTAGCACTGTTCACCCATTTTCTAAATACTGTCAAAGAAGGTAGTCCACATCAAAATTACTTGAATATAGTTTGTGAAATCTTTTACTTGACCTGTAACTTTTTAATAAGTCAATGTAGAAAACTTTTTAAGCCCTTATGGCTATTTTAATTCTAGGTAAAGTATAGCATTCTGTGTACTTGACCTTAGAGCACAGAAGAAAAAGTTCTGGTCAATTCAGAAATCTTTACAGAAATAGAATTTCAGACCTACAACCCAGGATTGATTATTGAAAACTTACTGTAATGTTTATAATAATGAACTCTCCCCAAATCAAATGGGGGGAAAAGGCATAATTTTGGTGGTCATGCATATATCCTTGGTTATTTTAAGTATTTTAAGAAAGTAATTTTAAAAGTAAGCTTGTTCTATGTTTACATGAAGGATTTATTAATATAAGCATTTTTCAGTAAGTTTATATTTTTCCTCTTAAATCTTTTAAAAATTTATTTCAAGTATCTTTTAAACAATGGCTTTGGGAAAAAATTCTAGATGTACAGTTTACTACTATTTACATCAACTTTTTCTTTTCCTGGGAAAAATAATAGACACCAAGATAAATAACATATACATCAGTGTTCTTAAATTTTCACTCACTATGAGTTAGCAATAATTTATGAAGACTTAAAAACTCTAAAGTGTGACTATATTTTAGGTAAATATCTAGCAATTACATTCTGGAATGGTATCTTTATAATATTTTTTGACTATGTCACCAATGAGTTGACCATTATAGAATTCCTCTCTTAGCCAAGAAGATTTGTTCTTGTAGGTGTAACTTTCTTTGTTGAAGACTTTATTTTAAAAAGTAGAAGAACACAATGGAAAAAGCACGTAGCCCTGCCTTCAGGATGGGTAGGTTCATCCATCCTAATTCAGCAACTCTATATACTCTCTCAGCTTGAGGCGCCAAGCCCACTTGGAGGTATCCAGGTTGAACCAGGCATAGAAGCTGAGCCTTCCTTTCAGTCAGTTCCTGCCCTGGGCTGCTAGAGACATAGCCTCAAAGGCAGATAGTACTCAAAAATACTACTGAACCCTCCTGCTCAGAGGAAAATGCTTTAATCCATTCCAGCCCACGTGACAGCTTTGAGCTCTGAGAATTATATCTTTCTAAAAAGCTATAAAATAGAAAACATCATGACTGGATTTTACATGAGTTAGCAAGTTAAGAGCAGGTCCAGAACTAAATACCACTGTGAGAAAGAAAATCTGTATTTGCCCTTATATCACCTAACTTTACTCACAATACTTCTTAGAAGATGTAGTAGTCTCCTTACATTTATGGAGTTTCATAATATGGAATCGGCTATTTTTGCCTCTTTGTTTCAGAGTAAAAATTATGATAAAGACAGAGAAATAAATGAAAAAAATGTAGACAATCTATAAAGCAGTTTATCACAGATAAACAAAGCCTTTAAAAAGCAGTCTCAACTACTTTAACTGCATCAGATGGCTGTTAGCTGAGATAAATTTAAGTACTTTCCATCTGGGCCAAAAGCCAAATGCAACATAGAACCTATTCATAGGAGAAAGCAGAGCAAACCAAACAGAGAAGAGAAATAGTCATATGAAAAGGCTTTCATGCCCCTTTAAATCTTTTATTGATATCTAAAGAGCATGTATATAAGAGAATTAGTGTAGAACATGCTTTTAGAGTATTTATTGAAATAGTTGTAGAAGGCAAGTTAGACAATGATGTTTTGTGGCAGATGGATTTTGTATAATAGCTCTTGTAATCTGTGTCATTCTCTGATCTCTAGAGAAATTGAAGAGAACTGGCAATAATGAAAAGTTAACATTTTACCATATAATAAAAGGTATCTTCTGGAGCTCTCTGTGAAGCAACACATTAGTAATACGTGGAGACCATGTATTGAAATAGTGGCTCTGAAATGATAAGCACGAGTATAAGAACAATTCATGAAACAACTTTTTCATTGTCAAGAGTCTAAGATATAGTAGGCTGATGAATAAAAGAATATTAATTGTTCATAAAGAAGATAGACTTCCATGTTATGCTTTTTCTCCTAGTATCAGACATTTTCTCATCATTAAAATTTCTTTATAAATACCATTTTATTATAATTCTCCCTCACAATTTATTTTCATTCCTCCTGGTCATTTCAGATTTTACACTATCATAGACAGCAGTGGGAAGAAGATCTTAATATGTAATTTAACTTCATAAAAACAATTTTCTTAATTTATTATAACCTATTCCTTTTTTAATATAACAAGGATTTTTTTTTTTTTTACCTGAAGTTGAAAGTCTGTTTTTAAAAAACTCATCTGACAAGAGACTTTTGAAAGGAAGATTCCATCTCTTTTTTTGGCCTACATCTTTAATTCTAGGAACTTAAACTATACTTAAGAAGAGGCTTCAGAAATTATTACTCTATTGAATTTTCTTTTGTTCACAGGTGGAGACATACTGCGCCTTGACACACTTTTAGAATGGTGGAGAGAAAAGAATGCCTCCTTCTGTTCTCGCCTTATTATCGTATTAGACAGTGAGAATTCAACTCCGTGGGTGAAAGAAGTGAGAAAAATCAATGATCAGTACATTGCGGTGCAAGGAGCAGAGATGACAAAGACCATAGATATTGAAGAAGCTGACCCACCACAGCTGGGTGACTTTACAAAGGACTGGGTAGAATATAACTGCAACCCCAGTAATAACATCTGCTGGACTGAAAAGGGACGCACTGTGAAAGCAGTCTACGGTGTGTCAAAGCGGTGGAGTGACTACACTCTGCATCTGCCAACAGGCAGCGATGTGGCCAAGCACTGGATGTTACACTTTCCTCGTATTACATATCCACTGGTGCATTTGGCAAATTGGTTGTGCGGTCTGAACCTTTTTTGGATCTGCAAAAGTTGTTTTAGGTGTTTGAAAAGATTAAAAATGAGTTGGTTTCTTCCTACTGTGCTGGACACAGGACAAGGCTTCAAACTTGTCAAATCTTAATTTGGAACCCAAAGTGGAATATTATTGAGAGTTCATACTACCAGTTACCACCAACTTGCCATTTTTTGTATATGGTTTTTTTATTTGTGAAAAACACCTTGCTACTTCTGTAGCTGCTCTCACTTTGTCTTTTCTCAAGTAATTATGGTGTATGTAAGATGTTGGGAATAAGCATTTTATCCTACAAGTATGTAAGGAGTCGTAAATGCTGATGCCATGTAAATGCATCACAGAGGTTAAAAATAACTGCACTTTGAGGAATGTTTGCATATGCCTCTGATTAGAAAGAAAACACTTGTCTATGCTCTGCAGTGGCCAATGAAGAATTAATAATGCCTTATTTTCTAGGCATAGATTAGAGATTGTAGACCAGACCGTTTACTACTATAAGAAAATTTCCAGTTTGCTTACAAAAAGATTTTTTTTTTGTCAACAGGTTTGAGTCCAAGACTATTTGAAGAATTACAAACTCTTTCTTAAAAAAGGATAAAGGGAGAAGCCTGAAATGAGTGCAAAAATTTGCTTATAGTCTACCATTCAGATGTCTTGGTTGTGGCCTATTACCAGTGTAGTAGTAAAGCCCAAAAGACTGTTGAGATCAAAACATTCTTCCTGTAGGTAACTGTAAGAGGCTAGAAGCCTACAAATCGCTCCTTCCTGCATTGTTGGGGTGGAGGGAGGGGCTCTGAAAGCACTGGCAATTTTAAGAGTCTTTCTCAGGGTAATGTTTTAATGAACAATGTTTCCAGCTACAAATTCCTTCCAAATAAATTGTCTTCCCTTTCAAAAAGTAAACTTTTTAAAAATTTAGCAATTTCTCATTGATTTAGGCTATTTTCGCTATTCAGAAATGATTTTGATCTCTATGGAATTAATGCTCTGCCATGAAAATTACCTTTCAGATCTCTCATTAGTGATGACATTTTTTTCTACTGAAGGTCAAAGGATTGAAAACAGGTCATTTTTTTTCTTGTATACATGTAATGTATTATGTAAAAAAAGTATTCATGTTGGCAATTTTAGTTAGGCATGATGGTGTGGTTGTAATTTTTAAAACTTAATTCAGTGTTTTGTCTGATTAAAGCAGGCACTGATCAGGGTATCCCCTAAGAGGTAATTTACCCCCTGTTCCCTTCCAGTAATCCTTACATTCTAAATTTTCATATCTGAGAAATAACAAGAGGGGAGTAGAAGTAAATTAGGGGATAATCTAATCTTTGTTGTTTAAAGTGTGACTTCTCACCACTGAAGCCATTTTTCTAGCCTCAGAGAGAGGACCTAATGCCTCTACCATTTTCTACCTGGTGACTTGAACATTGAAGTTTTTGTTAGGTAGGAGTCACTTAGTGTCAGGGACCTCGTATACCACTATCTATGCAGCCTTGTTACAGTCTGATGATTTCTGTGTTTTGAATATGATTTTCCTAATGCTTTGAATAAAATTTTAAAAATTAATTTTTCATGTAATGTGCAAAAAAAGTTACTGAATGATTTTAATATATTAAAAGTGATAGTCATAAAAAATGCCCATGTGTTATTAGAGTTCATGGTTGGTAGCAGGTTGATTTGAAATTTTCCAGTATTTGGTTACATATTCATATCAACATTATCCAAATGAAATAGTTTAATGTTTCATTACTATTCAGAATTAGTATAGCAGAAAAGTCAAGTGTTAAAATTATGAGCTTATAGCTACAAAAATATTAGTATTAAGTAAAATCTTTTAAGTTTCCAAGCCAATATTGAGCAAATTAGCTTTAATTAAAGGATATATCTTTACTCTGAGAAAGCCAAATATAAAGGTATATTCTGCATTCTTTATAAAGTAGTATTAAGATGGTACTAACAATCAGATTCAAAGGTAGCAGACTTTACAGCCACAAAGCTAGTGTTCTGATAATTCATTTTCTATGACCAGAAAAGTTCTGAGCTAAAAATGTGATTCAAGCCAATTAATAACCACAAAGTTACAGAATATCCACTTCGATGAATTCTCCTCCCAAACAAAAAACTATGAAATGACAAGAGGTGGCATCCTAAATTAAAGCAGCCATTTTAAAACATTAAAGTAACTGACAGAATATAATATGGAGAAAGAACATTATAGGAGGGATAAATTGATTGGTTACTCTAACTTAAAGATTAAAAACTAGATCTGACAATTAGTAAGGATAATTTTCTTATGGCTTTCATTTTATATACCATATGTTTACAAAGGAGTTACTGGGAGTGATAGGAATACTTTAGGGCAAAACTTTATCACCCCACTAAAAAATAGTTAACATGGAGATGTTTTTCAACATAATGTTGATTTAATTTGTTTTCTTATATATCTTGCTGAAACCAGAAAAACCCCACCCCCTAAAAACATCTTTTAAAAAACTATATACTGTTCCGTGATGAATTAACGAGCCAAGTTCTTTCTCTTCCTATAATTTTTCAGTTAGGCTATTATTTCATTAAGAATTTTTGTTTTAGTTTGCTCTGACTAAACTCTTCTTCCCTGGGATATTTGGATTTGTCTTTGCATAGCTTTCTATCTTGCTCTTCTTAATACAGAATTGTACAGAAGACCATTTTTATGACCAGTGTTTTCATAAGTTTATTAAAAGTTGCATTGCTAATTAAAATGCATTTATATTGAATGCATTAGTGGGTAGATCTTTTTTAACTAAAATCTTCATTAGAATCTATTTGTAACTTAAATTAGAATCTATTTGTAACTCTACATTTTGTTTGTAAGTTTGGCCTAAATATATTTGCTGTTGTGGGTACTGCCTTTTTATATGTATTCTTTGCCATTTAGAGTTGTCTCCTTTAAAGTAACTTTCTACATTACCTTTCCACAGAGGATAGCTAACATTATGTATGCCAGAAGAAAATGGTTTGATTTTAAGAAAGTTGTTAGGTATATCTCATAGTGAATGCTCAAAGGAGTTAGATCTGTCATTACTTTTGACCATCTCCACTATTGGAAACACACTAGATCTTCCTCCCTTTTCAGGCAGAAACACACATGTTGGTATTTCTGGTGTACAATTACCCAGAAGAGTGCCTTGCCCCATAATAGGTAGTAAAAGAATATTTTTGACTGAGTGAATTTAGAATCCTAAGGAGAAATTGGAATAACTCGATTGTAAATTACTTCATTTTCTTTATAATTTTAAATGGATATTATTTCAAGATCCTCATTAAATTAATTACTAAAGACTATTACAGAATCAGTAAAAGGAAAACATCTCACATTTTTAAAAACATTTTTATTAAGTAAACACCATGCCCAACATGGGGCTCAAACTCACAACCCCAAGATCCAGAGTCCCATACTCTCTACTGACTGAGCCAGCCAGGTGCCCCAAACATTTCACATTTTTAAAAAGTAGTGCCAGGATTAAAGAAGGAAAAACTCAGGTTTCAATGACAATATAGCTCATGTCACAAAAAAGATAGCTTTTTGTTGGTTGAGTTCATTTTCATCAGACTCCGATGATACTGAATCTTTCATTGATTTCCCATTAGAAACATATAGACAAATTGGAGACTTACCACAAATGGAAATTATTAAAAGAAAGTGATGAACAAAGAAGAAAGTTGGCTATGCTCATCAGTGACAACTAGACTATAAAGTCAGAAAAAATTGGCTTATAAACATAAAAAGATTGAGAACAAGCTAGGGAAACTACAAGTATCTCACTTTGGGGGGATCTTCCCTATTTACTAGTTGTAATACATCAAGTATGAAACAATGATATTTAAGTAGTAATTGCTTTGAGCAACTTTTGTTGACAGCAATTTACATTTATGTGTATTAGGAAGTACTGTTGCTATTATTATTCTTACTTAGACCAAAGCTGATTTGAAATTGAAATCTGTAGGTTCATCACTAGGTTTTTAAATATTAATACGTAAAAACCATTTTGATTAAAAAATAAAATTGACCAGTCATCTTGTGTGATGACCTCACAGCATTTTATAGGTATTAACTTAAAAATATTAGAATAAGTAGACAGTTTTAGTAAATTTTTGTTGTTACTGTTTGGTCTGTACCTATAAAAACTGATCTATCCCAAACTGAAGATTTCTTTTTTTAAAGATTTATCTATTTGTCAGAGAGAGAGCACACAAGCAGGGGGAGAAGCAAGCTCCCTGTTGAGCAAGGAGCTGGATGAGGGACTCGATCCCAGGACTCTGGGATCATGAACTGGGCTGAAGGCAGACGCTTAACTGGCTGAGCCACCCAGGCATCCCCCAAACTGAAGATTTTTAGTAGTATGCCAAGGATTAGAGAGGAAAATGGTATATCTTCCTAGGCCAGCAATGTTTACTCCACGTAAAGTAAAAGTATTTTTATATCAAGATATACCAATGTACTGATAAGCAGGATTTACATTAATTTTTAGTGTAAGTCAGAAGACTTTAAAGCAATTTTATTTTTGTAGCAGGTCATTTGTTCTATCCTTCCAACCCCAGGACATTGAAGAAAACCCTAATAGTGGATGTTTATGACACTCTATAGAGAATTTTTTTTTTTTTTAAAGAAATCCTTTGTCTTCTGGCTTAGAAATGCAAATAGCACAATGAATTTTCTCAAAAACAAATAATTTTGTTTCTATATATATGAAATTTCAGATGGATGCCATTTTAATACAATTTTATAATAGACATTTCTAAGTTCTTTGGAGTCCTTACATACATTGATTTCTTCTACACAAGTAGGTACTGGTAAGGAAAATGGGGTGAGGATTTTAATTTGTAATCCATATCCACTATATCTCTTCTACCATACTCCTTTTTCTCCAACACCTAACCTTTGGATTCCTTTCTACATAAAGCAACTAATTCATCAATAACAATAAAAATGACAATGGCTATCATCTACTGAATGTTTTTTTATGTTCTAGGCACTGTGCAAAGCACTTCTGTATACATGATTTCATTAAATCCTCACAACCACCTCTTATGATGGATATACTTCTTTGAATGAATCATATGGTATTTGTCTTTCTCTGACTGACCTATTTTGTTTTTTGAGTATTTTGTCAAGGGGCCAAACACCTGGCAACAAGCACATAAACATACCCAAGAGAAGCAACTGGTCAATACAAAGATCTTCAATTATTAATTGCACTAATATCACCCTCAATTTTTAGACCCTCCCTTAATTTCCTGGTAATGTTTGGTGCTAGAGCCTTTCTGGGGGTTGTCCTGGACTGGTCAGAGGTTCCTCCCCAGAAGCATCTTCTTTGAGGCTACTAGGCTACAGCTTGCTTCTCTCTGGCTCCCCAGTTCAACACTCTTCTATTTTGTCTTCTGGATGTGTACTGAAATCACTGGTCTGGTGAGAAGGATCCTTCCTTTCTCTACATCTTGATGGTACCATGTACTTGCTCCTTTACTAGTAATTTAATGGGAACTGGAGGAGAAGATACAAAGGCATGTGTTCACTATCTTGAAGTGAATATAAATTTCATTTTTATGAAAACGTGAAATTGACTTCCACTTCTGGTTAGGATATAAAATACAAAAGAACTTTGATTCAGTGGAAACATGAGAAAAATTCCAGATAAAATAAACATACAATTTATTGGAGCTATTGCAGAGTAGTATATACAAGCAAGTCTAGGTGAAATAAATCCCAAAGAGAGATGAGTTCTTCATAAGTAAGCAGAGACTGAAGCAGCTTCTATACCCGGGACACATGCCTGTCTGGGTGCTGGTGACTTAGAAATGGAGCTGCCATAGACGAGATTTTGCAGAAAAAAAGAAACTGGCTGAACTTTCTAGGATATTGTGGGCTGGTGAGATGGGTCTGAAAGGTCCCATCTAAAAAGCATGCCCCCTTGCCCTGGAATTTTGCCAAGAAACTGGCAGTAGAGGCGGACTTAGAGGCAAAGAGAATTTATGTAGCTTTGTGCATCACAATTGCCAGAGTTGGAACCACATTTGAATCCAAACTAAAAGTGAAACACAATTCTTACTCCAGTTCAAACACTAAAATAATCAAATTGTTCAGTCTCTTGACAGATGCAGCATGGGAGATTAGGGACTGGGTTAACTGAAGGTGAACTTAATCTAATTAAAGCTGCAGCCCAGCTGTAGCTCAGTTCAACTTGTGGAGAATTCTGAAGGATAAACTCCTCTCCCTAATCACCATAGAGTAAAAGGCATGCACTCCCTCAACAAACACAAACTTACACTTTACTCTCCACTGTTCTCTGTTCTTTTATATACAATACAGAATACATTTTTTAAAATTCTAAGGCATCAAGAGGGGAGGAATCAGACCTATTATCAAGAGTAAGCAGTCAACAGGAAGTCCTAGCCACAGCAATCAGACAAGAAAAAGGAATGAAGGGCATCCAAATTGGTAAGGAAGAAGTAAAACTTTTACTATTTGCAGATGGCATGATACTATGTAGACTCCACCAAAAAACTACTAGAACTGATAAATGAATTCAGTAA